CACACACACACACACACACACACACACACACACACACACACAAACTTAGAGATGAAATGTATACCTGCATCAATAAGGATAACTGCATTGGTTTGAGTTTATACTCAAAGCGCAGTATCTGACAAACTGGACCAACCGTTTCACCTGTTATGAGTTGTTGGAGGCGGAAAAGGAACTCTGACACAATCAATGCAAAAACAACCTGAAGCTTTCAAGAAAGGGGAAATAGATAAAGGGGAAGTTCTGAAGAACTAACGTGGTTACAGGAATAGTAACGTACAAACACCTGAAACACATGCACACCTAATCCTTGCTACTGTTTTGTCTCTGTTTTCTAAAATTGAACACTACACTGCAAAAAATGTCCATCTAACCAAGTTTTAAACTCTTATATCCAGCCAAAAAGGTCTTTTTGATCTTGTTTTGAGACTTACTTACTAAACAAGAACTGATTGTGTAAGAATAATAATCTTGTTTTCAGAATGTGTAAGATTATTTGTCTTGTTAGTCTGAAAATTTGTCTCAAATTAAGTAAAAAATTTCTGCCAATGCAGTAAGAAAATTTTACTTGGTAAGATTCTTGAAATAAGAAAAAAATTGAGTCAAATCAAGTATTTCAAGAATCTTATCAAGTAAAATATTCTTACTCCATTGGCAGAAATTTTTGACTTAATTTGAGTGAAATTTTCAGACTAACAAGACAAATAATCTTACACATTCTGAAAACAAGATTATTATTCTTACACAATCAGTTCTTGTTTAGTAAATCAGTCTCAAAACAAGATCAAAACGACTTTTTGGCTGGATATAAGATTTTAAAACTTGGTTAGATGGACATTTTTTGCAGTGTAAACACTTGATTCATAAAAAAGTTTAGCATTTAACACAAACCCTTCTAATTCTTCTCAGCTCTTCTGCAAGTAAAATTTAGTTGATTTTAGGCCTCAGATAATAGACTGCATGGCTGTGGCAGAGTGGTTATGGGAGTCGTCCTGTAACTTGCAGGTTGCCGATTCGATCTCCCGTTACATCCGTCTTATCCTTGGGCAAGACTTCAACAGCTTTGCCTACTGATGGTGGTCAGAGGGCCCGGTGGCACCGGTGCATTGTAGACCCACCTCTGTCAGTGTGCCTCAGGGCAGCTGTGGCTACAATGTAGCTTACCATCATCAGTGTGTGAATGGGTGAATGATTGAAGTATAAAGTGCTTTGGAGGCTGGAGGAACTTGATAAACTGCTACAAAAGTTCAAACCATTTACCATTTGTTTAAATTCCTGGTTAAGACTCATCTTTTAAATATGACATGATTTAAACAGAGCATATAATTGAACTACATCTAATCTCTTGTGTTTTTTGTGTTTTTTTAATTTTGGTTTTTATTTAGTTTATGATCATCTGGTTTAGCTGTAAAGCCCTTTGTTCAACCTCACTTGCTTAAAATGTGTGCATTATAAATGGAATTGAGCATAATCATTTCATGGCCACTCAAATAAGATGAGGTTACGGAAAATTAAATTTCATTTGAAATATTGGAATAACAAAATACCAAGAAATAAAATAAACAATTTCCACTACAAAATGTCATTTAATTATTCACTATATGCTGATAATGTAATAATGATAATAACAATTTTTAAATAAATTTTACCCATCACCATAAGACAGAAATACAGATCATGTTTTCTCCTGTTTGTGTGTGCCTGTTACCAAAATATCTCATGAACCACTGAGCGGATTTTGTCAAAATGGAAAAATTCCAAAAACGATTGAATGAACATCCACAACTAATTAACCTTTGGAGCCAAGCCTTTTCAAGATAGCCACAGATAATTGACCTTAGCCACCACACATATAGCCATTACTCATTCAATTTGACAAATATTGAGATAAAATCTTAAGCTGAGAGTCACTTGCTACACCTTCTCTAAGTGTGACACAGGGGAGGAGCCAGCCACCCCACCCAGCAACATTTTTGGCAAAACCATTCTATTTGCAGAATATTAATTTCAAATGAAATGCTCAAATATGTAATTCTTATGATGTAATTCTACATGGTGGTCACTGAGAGAATGAGCAAGAAATATGATTATATCCTCTGCAAATTGTCATGTTGTAGTCATGGTGGGGTTTGGATCCAGATGCAGACAACATGGGAAATATGCTAAGATAAACTAAAAAATTTCTTTTAATAAATAAAACTAAAGGCTGGCGTGGCAGCAAAATTTACAGAGAGCTCTGGAATCACAGGAGCACCAAAGAGACTGGTAAACATAGGTGAAACCATACAAAGACCTGCTGAAGTGGTGGTGGCAGGAGACTGGTTATATAGAGTAGTGGTAATGAGGTATTAGGAGCAGCTGAACTAATTGGAGGCAGGTGATGGTGGCAGGCTGACTGAGAACAAAGAGGAAACAGGCTGAGAGTAAAGAGGAACTGCACAGAAAACACAGGGAAGAAAATAAAAACACCACAGTACCAAAACAACCTGGGAGTATCTAAATCTAAAAAAAAAAACATATATTCTGTATATAATAATCTTCTGGGACACCCCTGTGTGACCAGTGGTCTCAGTCTGGTCACCCCTACAAAAATTGTCTGGCTGTACCACTAGCATGAAATCTCACAATATTGCATGAAAGTCCTAAAGTTATTTTCAAGTTTTGACTGAAACAGCTTCAACTCATTTCTAAAACTCTGGTGGAGGGTAATATGTAGTTCTTCAAGGAATATTAGACATTTAATTTACCCAAATTTAGTACATATACAGTACATTGCAGAAACGCAATGTAGATAATGGTTTTGCAAATATTAACATTAGTGTTTGTTATTTCTGACCATCTCAGGTTGGGATCCCTGTAGACAGTTTCCTATATTAGTTTTACAATCTTTCCAGCCAATTCATATTCATGCTTTTAAACCGAAGCTGAAGTCTGCTACACTCAAATCATGTTTATAATCAAGCCTTCCAAGAAGAAAATGTTTGTCTTACGCTCCTGCTGCCCTTGGATCAAAACGACCGACCAGACCTCTAGGTCAACAGGAGGGCTAAAGGCCTGAACATACTCCATCCGAAGTCAAACAGTCAACGCGCAATCACGTAATTGTTCAGCATTTGTTTTCGCACACACCTTTCATAGCTCCTGAGACACACCGTGATAAGCATAAATGGCTTCCTGGTAGCCTACAACAGTTGGCTTCTGGCAGAGTTGTTTTTTTTTTGTGTTTTGTTTTTTTGTTCGTTTTATTTTATTTTATTTTTTTTGGAAGCGAGTCATTGAAGCAAAATGCAGCATCCAAGCACTTTCAGCATAAACAAACACTCCCACGATCTTCTGACCAATTTTATGTGGAAGGGGGTAAAATGTTCCTCTGACAGATTGTGACAAATGGTGCAGCATAATCGACGCTAAGAATACAGTGACGTAATTTTCGTCATGAGAAAATCTGAGCCGATTTCGGCAGATCGGAGGGACTGTGAAGTGGGCTTATACAGAAGTAGAAGTTCTGTTTTTGTGAGTTCATCTAAGAATCAACTGAACATTTATGGTTGAGCAGGAAAACACAAAAAGCGGAAGGCATATGAAGGGAAATCTCTCTAACATTCATACCAGTCAACTCACTTCTTGCATTTCTTTTGCACTTTTTCTCTTTCAGGTTCCCGATCGATTTCTGGAGGTGGCACAAGTGACCCTTCGAGAGTTCTTTAATGCCATTGTGGCCGGGAAAGACGCAGACCCATCGTGGAAGAAGGCCATCTACAAGGTCATCTGCAAACTGGACAGTGAGGTCCCTGAGGTCTTTAAGTCACCCAACTGTCTCCAAGAACTTCTCCATGACTGACTAGGACATCAGAGCAGGAGGGACAAACCTCCAAGGACAGTCAGAAGACTGTAAGAACATTCCTCTGTGCTTGAAAAGTGTTTACCCTCAAATACAGAGGAAGTTGGAAAAGTTTGTGGACACTTGTTTCCAGTCTTTTAAAGACAACACTGCCCTGAAGAAGGTTTCATACATAAAAAGATATCTGATGCTCACATTGGAAGATTTTGTTGAGACTTGAAAAAAGCAAAAAGGCGAGCAATTTATCCTCTTTGCACTTCTAGAAAAGCTCCTCCATGAATTTCCATCTTTCTCGAAAAAGGTGGACGAATCTTCAACGCGTGACTTTGAATCCAGGAGTGAACTAATTATAAAAGATGATAATATATTAAAAAAAAACAAATCTTTATTGTGGATGTTTTTAAGTTGCTTTTGAAAAACTGGACAAAAAAGACTTTTCTGTATCTTTTTCCCTCCTTTGTATGAGCTGACATCCTTTCTTCTATAAACCCTCAGTCACATGTAGGAAAAAATACCGTAGCATTCACTCATCCTTACTCAAACCCAAACAGATGAAAATAAACTTGTTTATTCCTAAATTATCACCCCTTTTTTACTGTTTGAGTGTCTGCCCCATCACAGCATTAGAGATCCATTTTCATCACTGCATCGTTTAGATATGAAGATGATTTACCCATCTCCTTTTTAAGATCTATCAGTCAGTAAAATACCTTTTTTTTGTGGTTCAAAAATTTTAGGCCTTGTTTACACTACTCTGGATGTTTTTTTAAAATTTGAGATTTTGCATTGCAACACATGTCCGCGAAGCTCCAAGGAGACATTGGGGGACTTTGCTTTTTGCATTCCCACACAAACTTTTTGCATTACCTGGCAGTAGTGTTGGGCAATATCGGCAAAACAAATCTTCATAATTAACTGTGGCATTTAGCCAATAACGATAAATATGACAAATAATAGATGACAATTGCATTTGCATGTGTCTGCCATTGTTGACTTTTTCACGCATTTTCTGGCTTTCCTCTTACTCTGGTTTATGTAGACATTTCAGGTAATTACACGAATTTGTAGTGTTGGCCAAAAGGCATGCATGACACATCAGTGACATTGCATGGGAATGCAAAAAGCTTCACACGGTAATGCAAATAAAGTTAAAAATACCCCAATGTACCCACAGAGGCTCCGTAATTATTCGCATGCAAAATTTTTTTTGTTTAAGAAGATTTTTTTACTAAGAAAAAAACCTTTCAATTTTTCACTTTTGATACTAAAAACTGTTATGTAGCTGCATTTTTCCACAAGTGCCCACTTTCACTTTTTGCCCCAAAAACCAGACCAGTCAAACCATTTTCTGTTGTTACCATTTATTATTCCTTCCTACTCTTTATTCTGACTTTGATTGTGTGCTGAAAGGGTAAAACCCAACAAACTAGATGAGATCATTCTCGCCACCTAGTGGTAATCTATGGGTATTTCAGTATTTTTGCTAGAATATTGTATACTTTTTTTTTCATTAGCAAAAAAAAAAAAAAAAAAAATCCAGAGTTGTGTACACATTGCTTCAGTCATGAGTTGGTATACTGGTTATAGAAATGAATCTCAACCAATACTAGATTTGAGCACATGTTAAAAAATTTGATCCAACACCCTCCCCCGATGGCTTCTTGTTTTGTTTCAATCTAATAAACATTTTGATGAAAATCATTTGAAGAAAAAAAACGTACATCTTTTGTTTGACCCCACAACAAGAGACTCGTAACACAATCCATACATTTTAAGTGTTTTCATATGGGGCCAAAAACAGTTTGGAGTCAAACTGCTTCCCTCTCAGGATAAAGTTGACTGAAGCATTTTTGTTTTATTAAGCAGAAGACAAAACAGTTTTACTTTACAGCCAGATTTAACAATATTCAAAACTAAATTAGCACAGCATTCCTTGAAGAAATGCATTTAACCCCACTGCCTTTGATGTCAGTTTTAAATTACGACCTTCTTGTTTTGAGAAATTGTTCAATCTTGAGAATAATGCAGAGAGAAATCTTGTGCAAACAGTATGTGTTGTAAATGATGTTCATTTACCAACACACCAAATTTTAGCTCAATATCTGTACAACTGACAGCGTTTAAGGCCTTTTGTTTTTAAGATTGGTTCATTGTTGCGGCCATTGTGAATTTGTTGACTCCAACAGTTAATGATAACTTGCTGAGAAATTCGTTTAAATCTGCCAATTGGTTCATAAAATATTTTGCTATCAGTCAAACAAAATGGCACACAAACAGACAAAAACATTGTCACCTGCCTTTCACCTGTTACACAAGGTTTCTCCTGAGCCAAGCTGCAAAAGCAGACATTTTAATAATTATCAGGAAGTATTAATATTCTTTTAAAAAATAAATGAAAAAAATCTAATGATCTTAATTTTCCACCATCATAATCCATCAGCCTGTAAAGAACAATTTACTGCTCTTATAATAGTTTCTTCAGTTTTCATGTTTTCAGCTTACAAATGGTCCATCCTGAACAACTTTTTTATTTTTCTGGTGGACAAACTATGTCCTGAAAAGGACAATATGAAACTAATTATGATCAGTTTTTTTTTTGAATACACCACTAATGTAAAAAAATACTAATAATGATTCAAGTGAAAACCATGACTGGGGTGACACTTCTACATGTTTTTGTTGAAAATTTGTTGCGCAATAACTTCATTTGTTGTCAGGTTAGCCTTTTCCTTAAATAATTTTATTTAAACCTCACAATGATGAAAGTTTTTCAATTTTCCCATAGATTAGACTCAAACATACAATGGCTGTTGTACAATCATGAATTCTGGTTACTTGTTTTCATTTATAAAACTTTAATTTAGGTGGCAAACTACACGCTGATTGGCTGGAGAAGGCAGCTGAAACTGGTCATGTGTGACATTTATGGGAAAAATAATGCTGATATTTTTACCTTGTATAGATGTAGTAATTATTCCAATATTGTTATTTATAAGAGAAATAATTATTCCTTTTAATGTAATTTTGATGGTTATTATTATTATTACTACTGCTTGCTACGGATTTGACCAGTGGTTTTGCTCATTGTTTATCCATCACACTGCAACATGAAATAAATTATCCTTTGAACAAAAAGGAGAGTTGGGTGTTGTGACTCTGAGGGCGTCGACCGTTTGAAAGTGTCTGCCCACGCTCGCGCCACACCACCTCACCATCAACTCCAGCTGTATCTAGGCAATGGGACGGCCACTTTAACAGCCTCCGTGCCCTCTCCCTCTCTAGATACTGCGTTTAGGTAGGGGGGAGGACATGTGATCCCTCGTTGTTGTTGCTGATGAATTGAAAAGAAGAGCGCTGCGTGATTATTGTCAGCACAAAAGCCTCAAAAGCTGCTGACGCCTAGATTAGCCGGTACAAAGATGCAGGGATGGACACAAAAGGCGTAGGTACAGACTCACACTCGGACACACACAAAGACGGGGCCCGGCTGCCCTCGCTGCCCTGCCATCCTTCTCCTCTGTCCCCTCGATCCCTGATCACCTACTCCCTTCTAAGGTTTCCTGCTTCATCTTTCTTTTCCTCTTTAACACCATGTCCTCTGCAGTTTTGTTCTCAAGCGCCGGCATGGTTCATTTTTTTCCTCAACAGCTGGGACCAACTTTGACTGGTTTGCAATAACCAATCAATCAATAACTCAGTTGAAGTTTCAGTGACATCTAATGGTGAAGTTGTTCAATACAACCAACTTCTTCAAACCTGTGCTGCATTTAATGTTACAGTGTGGCACAATTTTTTTTGATTGCAGTGTGAATGTTTTATACTAGTCTTGTGCACTGTTTAACTTTTCAGGCTTTCTGAAGTGGTTTAAATTAAATTTGGGTAGCAACGTTAAATGCAGCTGGAGTGTACTGGTTTGTACGTAGCAAGTCAGAGTGAGGGTTCTAATCTATTTTTCCATGTGTTGCAATGCAGACATGAACAATTCTGACTGGAATAATAAACATTAACAATGACCTATGTCCTGTCACATTATACAAAAGGTAGAACTCAGATGAAAAAAAGTATCATCTTCTGCTTTGAAAACCTATGTTTGGACCTCTATAAAGTTAAATGGGAAAATTGTATTCAAATGAGCAACACTGTATGCAAGTTTAGTTTATTAACCTTATTTAACCAAGCAAATCCCATTGAGATCACAGATCCCTTCTGCAAGGGAAGCCTGGGCTGGAAGGCAACCCAACATGCATGTTTTTGATCTGCTGGAAGAAACCAGAGTACCAGGAGAAGAAAACCCACACAGGAACAAAAACATACAAACACCTCACAAAAGTAGTCAAAGACATTCTCGCTGTGAGGCATCAGTGCTTACCACTAAGCCAGCATGTAGCCCACCAGTGGCATTTTCAACCCCCCCCACCACCACCAAATAATTTGCTTTTTTAATACAATTTTTATTTCTTTATTTACTTACTTACTTCTGAAGAGGGCCTACAAATTCAATATAATGTGGCCAGAATATAAGTTTAATTAAGTAATCATACAACCAGTAATTCATTTAAATACAGCCATAAATCTGTATTGTAAGGTAGGGGTTGTCAAAATGTGGGGTGCACCTCCTCCCTTAGGGGGCACCAGAGGTCTTCAGGGGAGGCATGAGGTGAATCAGGAAGTAAGAAAATTAATGTAAGGCTTATATTCACGCTATAGATCTTAGATTACTTTTTTTGCGTGGTGTATTACATCATTATTAAAATGTGACTTCAGTATTAACTGTTAACAGTTCAGAAGACCCGTTATGCGCAGAAGAAGAAGAAGTGACATCACACATAGCAGGCTTTGTTTGAAAAAGTAGCCTCACAAGCTACATGTGTTAGCATGTGTGATTAGGAAGTTTCTGTACAATCAGAAATTAAATTATTATATGACCTGTTGTTGGGTCTAGGCTAACGTTTACATTTAATCTTGCCTCTTGACAGATTCTTATCAGTATGCCATCAAGGCCTACTAATTAGGCACTCCTTAAGTTCAGTTGTATTGAACCAGGGCAGATCCTAAAACATGCAGGACACTGGCCCTTGAGGACCAACTTTGGACACCACTCTAGATTCTTAGTCATCCGGGGAAATGAACACAGATAAAGCAACTGGACTTGATCTGTAGCTGAAGACATGGGGAGTTCTGTATTTGAAACTGCATCCGGTAAGGTTTGTACCCTTATAAATACATGGATCAGTCTACTGATCCATGTATTTATATCCATGTAAGTGTTTATATCCATGTAAGTGTTTATATCCATGTAAGTGCTTCAACTTCCCAGAATACAACTGTTGTCCCTGCAAGCATACACCTATAGATATAGTCAAATGGCGAAGAACTCTTGGATGGAGATAGCACAGACATTGTGCCGAAAACTGTGGTGCTTTAACCATGACAGATTGGTGTCCAAAGTAATGGCAGATGTTAGAGTGGAGACTTTTATTT